GCAACACAAAAATTTAGACACTACTTCTTGGGTCAATAGATTATTCTCGTCGCAAGAAATGACCACATCAAGTATTTTGTTAATCGACCCCCTCTCTCTAGAAGGCTAGTGAAGTGGTTGATGTAGCTAAGTGAGTATACCATTGAATATACCCAACCCAACACTATAAAGTGACAAGAAATAGTTGACCTTCTAGCAACCTTTCCATCAAATGACCCCTTGGAAATCTCAAAGAACATATCAAGAGACTTTCCCATAATCGTAGTGGTAGAACTGTAGAATATGGAAAATGGGTTACTTCCCAAAAAAACGATGGAGAATGGGGAGTTAGCATTTGACAACATACGCCAATTCCTCAACAGGAGCAGGTGTTACCCTAGCCTCTCCCTACGACGCAACCACATCCTATTCTTTTAAGCTCCAATTCCATTTCCCACATAATATTGCAAAATAAGAAGCCCTTGTTCTAGGACTAACCATAGCTAGGGACATCGGTGCCAGTAAAATCCTAGTAGTAGCTGACTCGCAATTGATAATGGGGCAAATAGACAAAACAACCACAATGAAAGAGGTCTCTTTGTTACCCTATAGAACACCCATCCAAAAACTAACCAAAGACCTCACCACCACCTATCAACATCATAGTCATGCCAAAAACTGCTATGCACTTGCAGGTTCCATGGGCCACTCTAGGATGATACAACCTTGCAACAAAAATACCACAATCTGCATCCAAATGCAAGGTCAGCCATCCATCGACAGATTGTCCCATTGGGTAGAGACGCAAAACAAGATAAGGTCTACGAAGGAGATTGGAGACACCCCATAATCCAAAAGCTTACAAACCCTACCTCCTACGATAACAAAATTCTCCTACGCTATCAATTGGCAAATGGGGTCATATGCTACAAGATGGCCAATGAACTCAATGACTAGGCACTAAGGAAAGTAGGTTAGTACTAAAAATACCATGAGGTATGTTGTGGAAACATAACTACCACCCTGTATAGAAGACTACAGTGCATGGGATACTTTTGAAAAGAGATGAAAATTGATGTGATGAGAATACAAAATAACTGTAAAAAATGCATAACAAAAGCAGACAAGTATGAGTGTCGACACCACTGACTTGCAAGTCATCCTTTAATGACAAACCTTTGAGATGCATAGTCGAGGATGAAGTAGAACATATATCTCCAATTGTCCTCAACCACATGTTTAAAGCCATGCTGGAGGAACCACATTTGCTAATAGTGGAAAGGCTTCGCTCTTGTCTAAACCTCATAATCAAACTACAACAAAAGTGGGTAATGGTTTGAGTACAACATGTTCAAATGTTGTATAAGTTTGAAAGGTTTATGTTAGCTCCACTAACTATTAACCAAGGCCCTATCAAGCCAAGCCCAAGTACAATCCAGGTCATTCCTATTGCTACACCAAGAGAACTTACTCCCCTTGAAACCAATGTCAATTAAACCTATAATATGTACAAAGTCCAAGAAATCATGCATAAACCCATAATCCAACTCTTTCCCTTTGATTTTTTTCATCAACAACAAGAATGGCATTTAAGTCCCCAACAAGCATTAATAGCAACACAAAACAAGAACCAATGGCTTCTAACCATAGATTTCACCTTTCCACCTTACATCATTTTGCATAAACAAAAGATATGATAGAAGACCACCATCCTACTCCACCACGAATGTTAAATGTTGTTCATGATCCACCATGAAGGGTCCATGCCTTTGGTGAGGGATCATGTGATCCTTGGTTGGGCATGAGATTGATTAACCAAATGGAGGTTAGTCCCTTTATTTGGCATTCCTCTCTTTCTTTTAACAATAGTAAACCATCCTCCATTGGCTCATTCAATGTAGTATTATCAAAGTCATCTCCAGATTGGTCAGATAGTGATTCATCTACAACCACTACCATTGGGACCTTGAAAAATCGATCAAGACTATTGCCTAACATATGCTTACACCTTAACTAGTCCTTTGATTTTAGGACCCTCCTCTTGAAGGTCAATCTCAACATGAACAACACTTGATCTATCATCTTACCAAGGGCTACCAGATTTAATCGTTATTCAAAATGTCTAAAACCAAGTCATCCACAGTTTTTTCACTATCAATAACATGAGAGGTTATACGACCATCCCTTGTATAATAAGTCAAGCTAGTTGTACCTCCAATCGGCCTAAAGATAGATATAACTTCCTTCTTTGTAGGGCCAGCCCCTTTTTTCCTTTCGACTTTGGTGGAGTAGGTGGACTATCCTTTGAAACCTGTGTCTCTTTCCTCATCTCACTCAAGCCAACCTCAGCTTTCTTTTTCTTTCCTTTATTCTTAGACTCCTTCCATTTGTAACTAATGTGGACAGAAAACAACTTCATGCAACACTTCAAGTATACAGCAATAAGCACAAGAATTACCAAGTTGAAAACAACAATACAAGTTGGATTTTTAGGGGTTTCAGACCTTAACCTGAAGTAGAACTCCTCCTGGAACAGTTCCACTACAGTAATAATGGCAGCAAGATGGCCTCCCGCGCGGACATGCAGCGATGGAGGGATTGGAAGGTTCAAAAATGGGCCGACTCCTCAAAATCCAAGCTCTCAGTACTTGAAAACCCTAGTTGGGGCTGAGCTACAGCTCAAATAAGAGAGAAAGAACCAAAAAGATCCCTCCAGAAACAGCCCCCCTTCTCTTTTATAAGACCTAATGTCTTGTTGGTCCATCCAAATAAAATATTTACACATAAGCCCCTAGAATGTTTCCCTTTCACAAGCAACTCCTTGAGAACAAAACTAACTTCAAATGAACCCCCAAAAGATAACTTTTGTTACAAAAAAGACCCAAGAGACCAAAACCCAACAGATATGCACCCAACAGCCCCTGACCAGAATCTGACTTATAAAATGACGAAAATACCCCTGGTTCCAAATTGTCAACAAAGCTACCTAAAAACAACAATTTGGGATCCTGCTACAAAAACATGCAAAACAGAATACATTCACATTTTTTTCAATTTTCTTCTGTTTTTTGCCTCATCAATAACTCCCCTTATGGCCATGCTTATTGCAGAGACAGCAGTAAGAAGGCAAGTTTTCATAAACAATTTAATGCCAAAAACCACCCATGCATAAACCAATCCATAATTGCTAGAGATATTCCTTTAATGAATGATGTTCAACACAAACCCTCATAGCAGTAGTTCTTGTGAGAGACAAAGTAGCAGAATCTACCTTCAAAACTCAACCAGCCATCTGTGTTATCAAGTTAATATATTTGTCATTGTAGAGATTGAGAGGTAATCTAGGAAAACTAACCCACATAGGCACCATATAAGGCCCATACCCTGGATTGAAATTAGGCATCCACTTGAAAACCCTAGCAGAGAAAAATCCTTAATGATGAATACCTCCTTTGAGCCAAACCCTAAGGAAGCCATCCTTCTATTCAAATCTAATTAAGTCATGCCTAACATCGACCGAAGTGACAACAATGACCTTTGTGATCTTCAGCATACCTTTAATGAACTCCGTAATCTCCAAAAGTGAAAGCCACATGCACACTTCTCAAATCCCAACTAGCAGATCTCAAAGAAAAAGGTAATTTTTCAATCTCCTCTGTAAAAACAACTACTGGTTCACCCCACTTCAAGGTTCGGTCCTTCAATGCTATGTCTATTAGCTTGGGAAAAATAGGCATGAGAGCTGTAGAAGATTAAATCATGGATCCATAAGTGACAGTGGGTACATTACCAAGTGGATCACCCGAAGGAACCCTAGGTGCCACCATCTCTCCCTAAGTAGCTATTACCATAGACTCAAAATACCAATATCATACCATATTTTTAACAAAGTTCTCAGATTCGATTGGGTTGGGTTTGGGATACCTAAAGCCTAAACCACAACCCAGGATGAATCTTGGCCCAACTTCTCAGTCCCAACCAAAGTTCCAAAAAAACCAAGCTAAGTGATGTAAAAAGTTTGGGTTAAGTCAGGCTGGATTTTGATAGTGCCAATAAAAGCATTAAAGATCCATCATTGCCGACATTGTACATAATAAAAGGAAAAAAAGGAAACAGAGAGAGAGAGAGAGAGAGAATTCATCAAAAAAAGGAGAAAAAAACACATATCTTGGTAAAACTATCAGAATTTTTTTAAATACATAATCACAATGAGCATCCATAATTGCAAATACATTATTTCATATAGACAAACAGAAGGGGTAAACAATTTCAATGGATTCATTCTAGTTAAAATATTACTAAGCAAAAGAAAAAAAAAAAAAAACTCACCCTCCAAAATATCCTATAAGCACTTCCATTGGCATCCTTCTATAAATTATATCAAAAATTGAAACTAGTGGGACATATAATTATTTAATCTATTTTTTATGTTCCTGATCTATCAGAAAAAGCACCAAACAAAATTTTTATTTTTTTACTTTTTACTTTCCTCAGAACCTTTTTGTTTTCCAGCATTCAGAGTTTAGTGAAACTGAATGGCACCTAAGTCCAAGAACCATTACTAATATTTTTGAGCCAGCTCACAACTACTCTTCAATACCCTTCTACCAAAATATTTCTATAATCAAGAGTTTTGGCAGTCCTAATTAATGCAAAACAGCCAATAAACCAACCCTTGTAGAATTCCCATAGCCTACAGGATTGCAGAAAATAGTCATGATTTTCCATGTCTTAACACAACCACCTATGACTCAAAATACAAGAGCCTTTTCAGGCACTAGAAGCAAAAACTTTTTGTCCCTTGGTACCTACAACCTAGCCCCCTTTTAAGTTGCTTAAATGCTATCATCTCAGCCAAAGGTACAAAATCTGCCAAATAAACCCAAGAGACCTCTCATAGAGCTTCTTTCCTTTTTATGTGGAAGTTTAACTAAAGAATTTGTGGTCACAGAAAGAACATAAGTTAAATAAGGGTTCATAAAGAAGAAAACGGAATTTTCTTAGTGCATCAAAATACTTGCCTCAAAAAATGTGTCACCATATCTTGAGAAGTTAAGGTCTGAGGATTCGATGCTCTTGGCAACAAGTTCCTGGAACGGCAAATGTTTGGTTAGGCAATAATAAGACTTAAGATAATTGAACCACAGATGTTTACTATCAACTGTTAATCAATTTCAATAATCATTATAGGATGACAGATGAATGAATCCTTCAAAACTTGCTTAACAATCTAGGATTAAAAATAAAATGCCTAAGATGAATTCTTTAGTAGTTTATCATGTAACAATTGACAGCATTTCCATTGTGCACAGGAAAACTTACAAGATCACCAGCATTATCCAGATATATCTGGACCACTGCATCTGCAAATGTTGCAGGGTCCAGAGGTGCTGCTATATTCCGTTTGCGGGTCTTAATCCGCGCACCGCTGCGTTTGTAGAAAACAAACATATACACAGGGTTTTAATAAGTTCTGATTATCAAATTCAATGTGAAAAGCAGAAATTAAAAAATCATAAGCAGACATGATTTATCTTCCATCCATTAAATAGCACATTTCTCAAACAAAATCTTAGAATATTATCATAATCAACCAAATTGTTGAAAGAAAATGTTATACTGTTAAACCTTAAGCAGAAAACCAGTCAACAAAAAATATCAACACTTACGTCTACTTAAAATACAAAGAAGCAATTATCCTATTTTGCACAGAAACTCATTCATGAAGACTTATCAGAATTCCAACAAAAAAATATACCAATAAACACCAGAGGTTTTAACTTAGCAGCTAAATCTGAACTCCATTGTGTTTTGACAAAGGTAAAAAGAATCTCTCCCCACAAAACTATGTAGGGGATCCATGAAACATAACTTCACAATTCAACTACTAGCTTTCTCAGAAACTATGGGGGTGTTCTGTTAGCGTGGATGAGAAATTGGATGGTGTATTCTCAACAACACTGCACCTGTAATGTGGTTGAGAACACACCACGCCACAGCAGAATAGGTGTTCTGTACAGTGGACAAAAATGGGTAGCCTGAACCACATGGTCCACACCACACTCATATGGGTGTTCTGCTGGGTGTAGTGATGTTCAAGCCACACCGTGTTTTGATTCCATGTATCCCGGATATACAATGTGAGATAATCTATGATGTTGATCAAGAGTTCTTTTTGTTTTTAAGCAAAATACAATTTAATTTAACATGTGATCAATTTAACCATAGCTAATACAAATTAATAAAAAACTAACGGATGAATTCAAAAAATTAATAATGACTAAAAAATAAGTAATATAAGAATATAAAATTCACACAAAAGAACTAACATTCATGATAAATAATTAACAAAAAATTAATCTATAACTATTAAAATTAGTACAAACATAAAAAATTAAAATTCCTACTTTTAATACCAATTAATAACAATTGTATGAGTAAGATAAATACTATTAATTATCTTACCATTACAATTGTGTAAATTAATATATATATGCAAAATACTGGATAGGGAGAGGATCTTGTTGCATGGTTGTGACCACGAGATAATGGTGTAACCGGAATTTTGGGGTGTGGTGTTGTCCACACAATGAGATGGTGGGTTTTAAACCACACCACACCATAACAGAACACATTAAAGTGGTGTGGTAGTGTTTTGAAATCCACTCTCACGGGTTCACTACACTACCAAACACCACCTACATTTTTGGAAGTGTCACACAAAGCGAATATCTGACCCTGAACCATATCGTGTTATCATCAATAATTGCAACATTATGGCTCATTTTCGTTAACATGAGATGATGCAAATAGAATCTTCCCTCAACGAAAGATTTCAAGATCTTTTGACAATCTGTACAGTTTTCCTAGGAAAAAAAATCAATTTTCTTGCATAATATATGAATTCTCAAAATTAAATTGCTCCAAAGGTATTCCTTCTAAATGATTTATAGGTTTGGCTGCATGTACAATAGTCCAAATTGCAATTTATCCCATTATTGGAGGCTTCATTTTCCACCAACACTAGCTGATTTTAGGGAACCACAATACCACATAAGTTGAAAGCTAGATACTTAGATGAGAGGAGTGTAGGATGATCAAGGCATTGAAAGAAGGATTGTCAACCCCTCCCCCAACCTTTTTCTCTTTTTCCTCCAGTGAGTTGATGGTCAATGGTTGTTAGTGGTGGTAGTTGTAGTAGCAAATGAGATTCTTGTTGCCAGCACCACTTAAGTGTTAAGGTGGCTAGGGTAGATGAAGATGATAATTTAAGTATATGTTATAACTCTGTAATACAATTCTTTAACATAAGAAAATGATCATAGTAAAGGAAAGCTGATAAAAGGCCTTATAGTACTGCCAATCCACTTAGGTCGGATCCATGGGATAAAGTATATAATTAAGATCAAATACATTATTCCATAGGTAAAACTTAACTTTGACAGTTTCTGTTTAAGCACTCTGAGAGCTTCAAGAATGTGTGAAGAAGATTTGTGGATATCAAAGCAAAGAGTTTTATATGGAGATTAAAAACAAGAATGGAACTCTGGGAAGATCAAAGAAGGAGAAAAGGTTTGGTGATCGGTGGTGTGGTTTAAAGGCTTCTTGGCTGGAGAAACTGTATTAAAATTTATGGGTTGGCGGTTAATGGCAATTGTAGATGGAAACCGCAAGGGAAGTTTTATCAGATAACAAGATTGCTATGCCAAAGAAAAGTTGTTTTGTAACTGTATTCTAGAAGGAAGATGGTCTTGGAGATGGAAGAAAATGGCAGATGCGTTGCAACTCTTGCCTCTCAAGTTCAAACCAAGGAAAATAAGAGAAACTTTCATTGAAGAGAATAGGAGATTCCAACCAATTATATCTTTGTAACTACTAGTGTAGTCACTGTTACAAAACAGTGATAATCATGAAACGTCGTAAATTCGATAAGATCCAATAAAATTGATCCATCAACTTGTATACTGAAAAGAGGAAAGCCTAGAAAGAGAACAAAAGACAATCTTTCAATAACCAAGTTTAATATTTAGCTGAAGTATATAACTAGTTAGCATAAGAAGAGATAAATAAAAAAAATTAAAAAAGCATTTGGAAAAATAAGCTCAAGAACTGGTAGAGTGACAAAAACACAACATACCCGAGAGTGGGTCTCTCCTTCGAGCTGCATGAAAGAAGAAAACGTCAATACCCACCAAAAAGTCTCAAACCCAGATACATCTGAGAAAATGAACAATAAAAAATAAGATTTTGATCCCAAAAGAGGACTCGAGAGTGTCAGGGTTCTTGACGCCCCCTAAAGAAAAGTTTTCTCTTTTCGATTGAAAACAGAGAACAAGGAAAATCCCTCAGATATTTCCAATATAATTCTAATATTTCACAGAAAGGAACAGAAACTGGAAATTAGAACATCCCAAGAACTGATCCCAGAAAAAACAAACCAATACCAAGATCGCCAAAAATACCATAACAGATCAGAAAAGAAAGAACCGATCTTTTCGCTACACAGGCCATTCCAGAAATCAAAATGGAAAACTTTAAAATAAAACCCCATCAAGAAGAAACAGATCTGTTGAAAACATCGGAGCAAAAGCAAGACAAATACAATAAAACCGAGATCATTTGATGTACGAACAACAGAAAGAAAGAAATCTGATGGAAAACCCAGATCAGAGTTGGACTAACTACCTCATAAACCAAGACCGAGATAGATCAAAGAGCGAGCGAGCGTGACTGCGTTGGAGTTCCGAAGGAAGATAATGAGAGACGGCGTGGTATAGTAAAGGAGAGAGGATATTTATTTATTCCTTTGTTTGTTTGTTTGCAAAAATAGAAATTTATTACGTCGGTCGATAAAGCGAACCCTTCCTTTCTCCTTCGAATCGAAAAATAAAAATAAAAAATTGGAAGTGAGAGAGAGAGAGCGATAGGGAGAAATGGAAAGAGAGAGACGAAAATGAAAACGAAGAAAAAGCAAAAAGAGATGCTGATTCCCTCGTTGGCGTGTGCATTTATTTGATTTACGCTTCAAACGATTTCCGAAAGAGCCTTTTTACACGTAAAATGCTTGCCGCTCTTGAAAACGGTTCAAAGCCTGGGATGTCAATGGGTCGGGTTAAGTGATACCCGACCCGACATGTTGCGTTTAGGTGGTATCTACCTTAATCGGGTTTTGGATTAGCCAACATGACCCGACCGTTGATAGAATAGCATTCAAACACTTTATTCATGGATGAATCCGTACACATAGGGAATTGCAAAAGTAAGCTTTGATTTATACGTGCAATTGCCGTTGGGGAAGCTTCATTTCAACACCAATAGATAGGCGTTTATTCACTATTTTGCAGATGTGGTGACAATGGCATCTAAAGTGTCAATAAACAGGTTCATTATTGTTTTTCTTAGTTTTTCAAACAAATCAAGTGTAAAACTTTTAATTAATAAATGTCCACACTTCCAAACACATACTTGTATCTCTTTCTCATTTAGTTAGGTTGGGGATGGAGTGGCCAATTAAAACCGTTGACATCAGCCCTACAAGGGTTGGGCTGGTTTGAGACAAAGTTTTTTTTTTTATATATATGCAAATAAAACTTAGGCCTTGATTGATTTGCAGGAATAGGGGTCTAGAATCAAAATTGGAATAGGTCATTCCAATTCCAACTGTTTGGTTGGATGGAATCTGAATCACATTCACATTCCTGCAAGAATGGCCATTATTGCAAATTGATTTTGGAGTATAAGGCTTTGTGAAGAATACAAATACAAATATGTACAAAAATAATACAAAATATAAGGTTTTTCATTGTACATATTTGTATTTGTATTCTTTCCAAATTAAGCCCTAGGCTTATCTCAATGAAGAGAATCACAATAGATGCACGAGATTGTACAAGTTCTAGGGCTTCTCAATTTTTCTCACCTCTAAAATTATTAAAGCTTATAGATCTCTTCAATGAAAATAAAAACTTATGTTAACTTGGTCTCTAAAACAATTAAACATTGTATACAATGATAGCATACTTTTTTTCTTTCTTTTTTTAAATCAAGTTAGAGAGCTCTATTTATAACTATTTGGGGAGCAAGTAACTATTTTCTAGTTGTTAGAGGGCTCTTACCAAACATAGTAATGATTCAAAATGTCTATAATATGATAGAAGGCTTGCTAAAGATAATAATAGCCATCTAAGCCTTCAAATGGTCAAAGTTCATCAAAGTAGTTGAGTATAATATCCTAGTAGTCATCTACTAGATGAAAGGAGGAATCATTTTTTTCTTCCTATGGCTAACTAACTCCTAGAAGCGTAAAACTGGCTATGTCGGGTCGGCACGACGTGGCTCGCAAGTCGTCCCAGACCGTGTTGCCCTTCACTAGGATAACTTGGGGGGTCAGCCAGCACGGCCCACGACCCAAGCTCGTATGGGCCCGTGTCGTGCTGTGCCACAGGCCGGGTTGGCCCGTGGGCCAAGCCTTGGGTCAGGTCGGGCCGTGGACCGAGCCAAAGCTATTTATTTTAAAATTAAAAAAAAAACTTAAAATTTTAATTTTATATTAATTTTGATGTATACAATTGATTATAAATACAAAAATTAAATAAATTAGTATAATAAAATTGAAAACAATTGCTTATTTTATTAATATATTATATACTATTTTATTATATAATTATAATTTGTATTATATATTATATATAAAAAATATATAAATATTATATATATATATATAAATAATATATATGGGTCGTGCTGGCCCATGGACCTAAAACCCTAGGCCCAACACGACCCACATGATCGTGCTGAGCCAGGCACGACCCGCATGTCATCATGCCAGCCCGATCCAAAGTCAGGTCGGGGGCGGCACGACCCAATTTACACCTAGTAACTCCTCCTAATCAGTTGATGGATAAACGATCCAACTTGGCCTGTCAAAGTTTGTTGACTATGCAATTTTGGGTAATTGACCACTCTACACAATTTGGGTGTTTTCATGCCCCAACTATCACAGGTAGTCAACTGTGAATTTCATGCCTCAATTGTCACAAGCAACTATGGATTTTTTTGGCAGTCGACTATATCACACAGTTTAGCATTCCGTGCCACTATCACAAGTAGTTGACTATATTATTTTAGATAGTCGATTATATTATAGAGACTGGGTAATTTATGCCTCTATTGTTAAGATTAGTCGACTAATGACAACCCAAGACTTTTAAACCTTAGAAATATTTGTCCAAATGTTTGGTGATTGTAAGAATTGAAAAATGGGCTCACTTGCCACTTGGGCTGGGAATAGAATCGCCACCCATCAAATTAGGAAAGGGAGGTGATGGGACCTCTGGGATTTACATCGAAAAGCGTTTTGACTTATTAATGACTCCAATACCTAAGGCACTGGTTGAACCAGCCTGGGTAAGACTCAGATAGGGAGAGGGAAGGGGTTAGGCACCCCTCTCCCGGGTCCAAAGGTGGGGCCCGTATGGGATACCAAATATGCACAAATTAAAGTAAGCAAATCATTGACTAAATAAAAACAATTAACAATCAACAAAGCTAAGGAAAAAAGCATGAATGAACCATCACAAGAAAATTCCCTAATTAATTATTTTATTTTATTTCTTTATTTTATTTTTATCATTGTTTATGTTATTCTCTTATGGAAACTCATTTTTATTTTCATTCACTTTTTTTAATTTTCTATTATATATATATATATATATATATATATATATTTACTTCCTTTTTTTTAATTATTGCTTCCCATTCAAAGCTTAGCCTTTCCTCCCGCTACCCAGATGGCAGATAATTAATCACCTAATTTTGTTATATCATATATTTTTGTGTAAATGTGCTACAATTTTTATTATGTATATATGTGCATATTTTTTTTATTTTCAATTTCTATCCCTTTTATTACCAGATCGATTTTATTATCATTTTTCCTATTCTTTTTTTTTTTTTTTACTGCAGTGTGTGAGTTCTTGCCGTCCTAGGGATTTTATTTCAAAAATCTTCTTATCTTCCCCAACCCGGGATAAATCAAATGATCTGCAGGTCTGGAGCTTCCTACCTCAGTCCCGGGATTGAACTACACAATGTCTTCAAGCTCGTCCGATGGGGGTAAAACAACAATAACACAACTAACTAAATTGTGGACTAACAGAACCGGCAAATCTAGCACTAAACAGCAGATATGTGCTTAGAACTAATGTAAGATATAACAAACAAAAGAACAATAAATTCCAAAGAATCTGCAACTTCTCTAGCTTCTCCATTCAAACATGATTTAAAATTCAAAGACAAAGAAAGATTAAAAAAAAAACGGTTCTAAAACTCGACCATAAGGATCTGATTATCAGCTATGACGTCGGCCAAAAATCCACAGAGGGCTCGACAGAACCTCATTGGTGCCTCTGTCATTCGACAGTCAGATGCAACATTAGTGAGAAAATAAAAATGAAATCTAAAGGAAAAAATGCAGAATAAGTTAGAACTTACCTAAGATGGGATTTCGGCCTGATTTGATCAAGAGAACAGAGAATTCCGGCTGAGATTACTAGACTGTTACAGCGGAGAAATGTGTATCAACGCCGACAGGATTATCCCTTGGACGGGAATGACCTTGATGGACTGCAGTCATGGGGTTGGTGGAAGCAAGACCAGTGTCCAAGTGTGAGTCTCGCCGACAGATTGAGAATGTAAGCTCGGATTAAAGAAACCTCAGTCAACTAATATGAATGCCCTTTGTCAATTCTGACTCATCAATGATGGATTTCAGTTAACTCTGGTGAGTGCCGCTACTGATTTTGGTTCAGACGGGGAAGAGAGCGGAGGACGATGGATGACTTCAGAGAATGATGGGAAGAGAGAGAGAGAATAAAGCAGAAATGGGGAGCTGGGCAGATCCACCACCGCTGCAAGTTGCAGCGGCGGTAACGAAACGGACAGAGAGAGAGAGAGAATGGGGGAAGAAGAAGAAGAAGAGGACTGAGAGAGTGAGAGAGGGAGGGTGATCGGAGATTCGGAGGTAGGAGAGAACGCATGGGGGTGTCCACGGTTCGGTTAACCGAACCATGACACTTTTTTCTAAATCGAACCGGTAGTACTTTCCAATTTTCCAAACCGAAACCGAACTGGTACCACCGGTTTCGGTTTTTTATATTTATAATATATATTATACAAATATATGTATAATATTATATAATAAATAATAAATGATATATAATATATTATAAATATTTGAAAAATATATAATATATTTATAAATAGATTATTATAAATATAATATTAAGTATATATTTATATATAATACGTAGAAAATATGTGACATACATTAAAAATATATATAAAATATACATAAAAATAGATATACCAGTTGATTCGGCTAACCGTTGGTTTTTTTGTAGGTTAACCGAAAATCGAGCCGATTCTTCGATTTTTTAAAAATCCCAAACTAAAACCGCATTTTGTGATTTAGTTTTCTTGGTTTGTTTTGATTTTTTGGTTTTTTTTTGACACCCCTAGTGCCGCAACTATGTTTTGGTTGAGAGGAGGAATAAGGGGAATAGTGTCTTCCTTCGAGTTTAGATTGAATTAGGGCCAATGAAAGTTTAGATTGAATTTATATGGAAGGCAACGGTATTTTCATAATTTTGGGAAATCTGAGGTATATCTTAGTAATTTTCTATAAGTTGGGCTAAACTGGGTCATAGGGTGGTCAAACTGGGGTTCTGGATGGGTGATTGAGATTTTGGGTCAAAGATGGAGGGTTGAGTTGGGTTTGACTATAGAGGGGGGTTTATGTATATGGGCT